TTTGAACGAAGAATATTCTTTTCGATAAATTCTCTTCAGGTTCTACAATTATATATCCAAATTAATAATTCGAAAAAATAGCCAGGTTAAAGGCAAAGTACATAGTTTAAAGCATGTAAATTTAGGAATGTCAAATCAAATAGAATAAAATTGTTAATGTTGATTTGACTCATATAGAATGTTAACTTGAATCTGCATATATGTTAAGTGAAAATATGTAAGATCTGTGATCAGAATAAATATGGGTCAGATAGGGTGAGAGAGATATGATAGTGCAATTACAATTCGACCATGTGGAAGACTAAATGTGTGAAAAATTAGTTTAAACCTCTATCATAGTTAAAGGATACAACCACCTCTCTCCATTGTTTTATCAAAACAGTGGGGCTAGGCAGAGTTGACCAGTCTCATCATTTCTTCTCAACTTCGCCATCAACGACGTCCTGGAAACAGACCCGATAGAGTACATAGTGGTGGTGTTTATCTGTTACCTGAAGAAAAACTTTTCGACCTTGAGTATGCGGATGATATTATCTTACTATTCAGTGATACTCAAGCCATACAATCCACACTTAATCCGTTGGTTATCAATGTCCTTAGGTATGGTAGTGCTTTGCACCTTCTAAGTGAAAAGTATTCTTTACAAGACTGGCCCGACCCTGTACCTCTACTCTCTGTAGTCAGTATTTAGTAATAGCTGACAAGCTCGTGTATATGAGTAACTGTGTAATCGCTGGCGGTGGAGGGAGTATGAGATCAATTCATGTATAGTGAAAGCCAAGACGGTTCATGTCAACCTGGACCATCTCTGACCCATTCACTATGTTAGTCTGACTGCAAAAATTTAAATCGACAACTCGTCGATGATAGAAGTTTTTCTCTGTGCACGTAAAGCAAAGCCTCTCTGAGTTGATGAGGTCAAGTGACTTTCTGTGTATTGTCATCATTGCCACCTAAGGTGACATTCAGTGGCAAAATCCTGTTAGTAATGTGATTCAGGCACAATGAGGATAGTCCAACTGCAGCCACCATCCTGAAACATTGACTCCAGTGTCTTGTTCATGTATTAGAAATATTATCCGGGCAAATTTTACATCGTTTACTATTTTTCGACGCTTTATCTGGCTGAAAACAACAGAGAGGTGGTCAGTGTATGACATGATGAAAGTGATAACGATCTTTTCGTTTCGACAAATGTTTTGTGATCTATATCATTTCAATAACACGCTCAAAACTCTACGGAGTTTTTATTATTTTTGTAGAGTAGTGGATAACTCTTTAACAATTGAGTATGAAATCGTGAACTGCAGTCCCAAATATGAACGCCAACATTTGTATCAGGTAAGTCAATCGGATGAGACTCTAATAGAATGAAATTCACGTTTTAGGTTTCATTGTTGGCTACAAATCAAAAATATACCAAAATCTTGTGTCCACATGAGTTATCGGTTATTTCTGTCAAGATACACATACTTTAACAGAGACTGATTCGATACATTCTTGAATATCAATCAAGGGAGAATAAATAACCTTTCGAAAAGAGCTTGTGAAATGAACAAAATTAATTATTTTCAATCAACATCTACTAAACGTCTTGGAAGAAACTGAAAACTGACATTTCATACATTTCCTTAATCATTTTGGTCTAGAGCCTAAAGTAGTTTGTGAAATTTTCTGTTAAACCTAACTCTCTTATCTGTTGACGTTAATCCTCATTACAGATATACAAAACGGTACAGATTCAAGTGTTTTAGGGAGTGCGAATAACCCCCCTCCCCAAAAAAGTAGCTTAAGACGATCCATCTAGAAAAAAACATTTATCATCAAACTCCATTTGTATCTTTCCAGACTTTGGTACAAAATCTATTACGATAAGACACTGTGAGGCAACAATTGAGAGAAATAAGGAGATTAATTGAGCCATATGTTAGTATAAAGATCAACGCCATGATTGACTAGAGTGGGAATGACCTAGAAAAATGATTCTCTTCATTCTCCGATAACAAATTTTTAAAAAAAGAGTTATTACATGATATAAATGTTTAGTTCATCGAGATAGCTGTGGGAGAGAACAAACCAGCTTCCAAATGAAAAGAAAGTCACGAAAAGACGATGGAAGTGGATAGGACATACATTACGGAAGTCATCAGACAGCACCAGGAAGCAAGCACTAACTTAGAATCCTGTAAGGAAATGAAAAAAGAAGACCAAAGAACACACTAAGATGATTATTAAAAGCAGACATCAAAAGAATGAATAGCAACTGAAAACAACTAGAAAGGATTGTTCACAACAGAATTAGAGATGAAGAGTACTGATGGATAGCCTGTATTCCTCCACGAGGAGTAACATGCGTACCTAATTAAGTAAATTGTTAAATTAACTTAGTATTGTTTGTTTGGATCTTTCCATTGATGCTTAGGATTGCAATTGATCAGTCTCTTATTGACACATGTGCATACTGTGCATATTGCCACGATAAAGCCTTATTTCACAGGCATTATAAGCAAAGATGGATACTGGCTAGCAGTGGAATCCAGTTTGACGCGCGTTTCGTCCCATTTCGGATTTGTCAGTTGGATGTACTTGCACCTGAGAGTTGATGTTCACTCTGGGACTAGAATCCAGTACCTTTCGCTTCAAACGCTATCGCGTTATCCACTCAGCTACTGAGTCTTGATAGCCACTTGCTTGTGCAAGTTATTAACTAATCATTCAATGTCAGTGAAATCGATAGATAAATAAACATATTTTTGCCATGTTTCTATAGGATGAATAAACTCTTCTTCATCTTTATCTATCGTCAATTTTTTATTCTTACTTTATTTCACATAAAATCTTACGGTTTCCAATAGTGAATACCAGTTTTCCCTTTAGTCATTACATTATTCATTTAACCGTTTCTTATTTTCAGAAGGGGTTTTGTGGAGATTTAGTAATTTCATAGTTGAAAGCGTGAGTCAATTGAAGCTAGACCACTGAGAAAAACCTGGAAGCACTGAACGGCTGATTCGTCCTATTGTGGGACTCCTCAGCAGCCCATATCCACGACCGAGCCTCGCAAAATTCGAACCCACGACCTACCAGTCTCGCGCCAGATCACTTAACCGACAGACCACTGAGCCGGCATCCGATGGTGTTTATGTCTAACTCCAACCAATCTATGAATACTGGTTAGACATCAACACCATCGGATGCCGGCTCAGTGGTCTATCGGTTAAAAGCTCTGGCCCGAGACTGGTAGGTCTTGGGTTTGAATCTCGCGAGTCAAGCTCGTGGATGAGCACTGCCTCCACTTATCTTATATCGAAAATCTTCTAATTATTAATTTAAAATGTGCTATACTACTTACATCGATAGTTTTTCTTCTTTTGTTTCGTCATGTTTTCTTACTTTCTTTCTTCTTTTTTTTCATATTTAAAACAACAAAAGTCTTTTTTTTAAATTTATTTTCTTTAATCTACTTTTGTTGTTTTCTCTATTTTACTTATTTGTCAATAATCATTTCCAAATCATACATGTTTACTCTATGTGTATATAAGCAGATATAGGTATAATATGAAAGCATAATATTAAAGCATAAATTCTCATAGACTATTTATTATTTATTATTGACGGTTTTGACAGACTTATTTTTTATTTAATTAAAATGAAAGAGAACATTAATTAATTTTCTTGATGTTTCTTGTTTGTTTTGTTTTATTCTTTTTATTGTTAAAAGTGTACTATAATGAATCTATCAAGCGGCCGATACGATTATGGTAATATGCTACTGATATTGATAGATATAATTAGTATGTATCATTAATAGAAAGTGAAATGTCTGGAGGCAGAAAGTTAGGATAATCGAAGAAAAGAGAACGAGAAAAAAAAAGACTGGATAACACAATGGCGTTTGAAGCGAAAAGTACTGGATTCTAGTCCCAGAGTGAATATCAAATATGAGATGCAGGTACATCCAACTGACAAATCCGAAATGGGACGAAACGCGCGTCAACCTGGATTCCACTGCTAGCCAGTATCCATCTTTGCTTATAATGCCTGTGAAATAAGGCTTTATCGTGGCAATATGCACAGTATGCACATGTGTCAATAAGAGACTGAACAATTGCAGTCCTAAGCATCAATGGGAAGTTTTAAACAAGTAATATTAAGTGAATTATGAGTATTACTATTAACATTGTAGTGAATGAGAATTCAGTTGGGAAAGACCAATTTATTATTTAATGAACAATCACATGATAGTTTAGTAAAATGTGAATATCATACATCAAATACATTATCTACTTTGAATTATCTCTTACAAACTTCATTTTTCCTTCATTCCCGTTGTTATCTTGACTGATTGTTTACAATTACCTTTTCCCTTCTCTTCATTTCAATCTTATTAACCTTCTGCTTGCAAACATTTCACTTTCAATTGGTGTTACATACTATTTATAATTACAAATATAAGTAGCATACGCAACACTATTATTATAATATAAATATTATCAGGAAGGGGGTTTTAATAGTTGAACTCATGAGTCGATTAAAGCGAGACCGCCGTGGACAACCTAGAAACGCATGAGATTAAAAGTCCTGAGTTCGAATCCCATGAGCGAGATCGTTGATACGCACTGTTGAGGAGTTCCATACTAGGACGAAACAGCCGTCCAGTGCTTACCGATTTTCCATGATGGTCTTGCTTTAATCAATTCATGAATTCAACTATTAAAATATAAATACTACTTTAATGAAAATATTAACATAAATAATCACTTCATATACATAATTGTTGTAGACAAAGACAAATCCGAAAAACACGAAAAAAGAGTGAGAGATAGAGAGAGAAAGAAAGAGACTACTTACAATATGATATGTTAAACAAGTAAGAAGAAAAATATATACATTTCTTTTTCTATGTTTCTTCCCTTCAAAAATCATTTTCAATGTTTATATAATCACAATAATGATAGTCAACAATATTTATCATAATAATGAAAAGAACATGAATAAAGATGCTAGAAACTAATAATAATAATAATAGTAATAATAGTAATAATAATAGTAATGGTAATAATAATAGTAGTAGTAATAGTAATAGTAATAATGATAGTAATGATAGTAATAGTAATAATAATAGTAATAGTAATAATAATAGTAATAGTAATAATAATAATAATAGTAATGGTAATAATAATAGTAGTAGTAATAGTAATAGTAATAATGATAGTAATGATAGTAATAGTAATAATAATAGTAATAGTAATAATAATAATAATGGTAATAATAATAATTTTATTATTATTATTAAAGATAATATTTGTTTTTTTTATTTAAAGTGAAGGGCGTTGTTATATGTTCCATTTTAATATAAGTTTTATCAATCGGCTATTTAAATCAAAATTTAATTAAACCATTTGTCATATCTATATATAGAAAACAAATTATTCTAGACTAATTTCTATTAGAATGAACTGATTATTAACTGATCAATGAAACAAGGATATAAGGTTGTAATAATAAATTTTTTTTATCAGAAGGGGGTTTTTTATGGAGATTTTAGTCATTTTGATAATTGAGATCATGAATCAGTTGAAGTTAGACTACCATGGAAAACATGGAAGTACTGGGCGACCATTTCGTCCGATTGTGGGACGCCTTAACAGTGCGTATCCATGATCCTGCTTCATGAGATTCAAACCCAGGATGTATTAGTTTTGCGAGGAGTAATCATGGATAAGCACTGCTGAGGAGTCCCATAATAGGTTGAAACGGCCGTCCAATGCTTCCAGGTTTTCTATGGTAGTCTAGCTTCAATTGATTCATGATCTCAACTATCAAAATAATTTTTTTGTTTCAAGCCTTTTGATATCAATATTGAAGTGTAGTTTTAGGTATTAAGTTTTCTTAATAGTTGAATTCATAAGTCAATATAAACTAGATCACCATTGAAAACTTGGAAGCATTGAATGAATGTTTTGTTCTAGTGTGAAACTTCTCGACCGTTCAATGCTTCTAGATTTTAAATAGTGATCTAACTTACATAGACTCATATATTCAACTATTAAAATTACTATAATCTCCACAAACCTTCATTGTAATAAAGTTTCCTTCCATATCGTTGATGATTTAACTTTAAATTTTGTAATAGACAGATTTTTTGTTAGGAACCTTGATGAATTTTTAGTTTACCTTCGAAAGTGCCATCACAGAAAATAAATATAGCTGTATAGATCAGAAATTGATATAAATTTTGCTTATACTATTGTGAATAGAAACTCATGGTAGGGGGAGACCAATTTTTTGGTTAGTACAAAATTATAGAGTGTTTTCACAAAATATCAAATCTATACATATAGAAGTTGTACATTTTTCATCAGTCATTGTTTACAAGCGTCAAGATTCTTTCAATTCTGTTATTATTACAATTACTGTCGGTTTTATTCAATTGAATTTGTCGATATAAGTAGCATCTACATTACAATACCGTAGTGTAACAAAACTGAAAAGAATGTTTGTTGGTATTTTATGGTCACTTTACGATAAACATTTCTGTTTCATTTCATGTCCATACGTCAATACAACATCTAGAAAGGGGATGAAACCACAATTTTCTTCCTTCTTTAGAAGTAACTGTTAGATGAATTCTATCAAAGATTTCTAATAAGTTCAGCGCTTCATTTTCGTTTTTTTTTAGAACTAAAAAGATGTCATCTATGTGGTGACAATAAAATTCCAACCTGTTTATCATACTTCTCAAAAGACTGTTTTTTTAATTTCTAATTCTTAACTTCGTCCATGAACCTTAAACTATCTTTTACAGTATGCTGTATGGCTTCTTTATTCAATGCCTTTAGAAGTTCTTCTATCGTTTTAGCTTTTACATGGTAGGGTGAATTTACAACATCCAGGACTGGCGAATATGATAAACCAGTTTCGTATACTTCTGGAAGGCCATTATACCGTTACGTAATGGCTTGAGTGTTGCATATAGGTCCTCGTAAATAAAACCTATATGTTTCAAGTTTTTGACACTTGTATCAGAAAATCCGTGACGATTACTTCTGATCTGTTGCTGGGTTTGAAGACTTCTAGGTTTTCAGTTTTCTTCAGTTTAGATGAAAATTCTTTTTACCATAAGACCTCTCGTTTTTATGTAGAAGTTTTTGAACTTAACTTGTATATCCATCTTATTAACACAACTACGATCATTACAAAATTTTGGACAAAAAAATATCCTCCTAAATCAATTGTATCAAGATGATCACGAATATACGGAAACAAACTCGGTAGGTATCTAGTTTATGAAGTCTGGTTTTTTTAACTTGAAATTATTTGGAAGTACTTTCTTTCTTTTCTTAAGATTATCGTAGGAGAATAAAAGTTATGTCACTAAAAGTTTTACTGATTACTTTTCGATGACGTAACATGAATAAAGGGAACATTCCAACATTTACACTTCAGAATTCATACCAGTTGAATAAGCCAATGATTAAAGGGATACAGTAGATCGGAGGATAGCACATTAATTATTTGAAACAAAAAGTAATGAGTTCGAATGTCATTGTGAACATCGATACAAATGAAAATATATCCCCACTGGCAGGTCCCGATTAGGACGAAACACCAGGCCTAGTTTTCTCTGTTAGTTACCATTTAACTCTAATATGGAATACAATAGTGAATGAAAGTAAATTGATTATTAACAACAAAAAATTAAAAAAAACTGATATTAAACAATTTCTTCATATGATGACCTCTATTCTAATGTTATTTACAGTCAATAAACAATCTCACAAGAAGATTAAATAAAAAACACAATAACTTCATGTAAACTTAAGGAAGAATCTTATTTTTAATGTTTGATAACTGGAGTATTGAAAAATGCCATGTTTGTCCAGTCGTTTAAGTGTTGATCGGATTCTATTGATCAAATTTCAGTTTAGCCACTGGTCTTGTAGTGAACAACAATACAAGTAAGGAAAAACAAAGTGTATTTGGATACAAAATTATAGAACATCTTAGTAAAACCTGAGAACCATACAGTAAATAATTCATTTGCAAAGTATTAGTCAATTTTATTAGGTGTTGTTTACTTGTATCTTTCCATTGTTATTTAGAACTGAAATTGATCGGTCTCTTGTTGGCTTATGTGCATTATGTGCGGACTGCCTCGATATTGCCTGAAGCCCCAAGCTTTATAAGCAAAGATGGATAGTGGGTAGCAATGGAATCCACAATGCGCTTTTCGTCCTATTTGGGACTTGTCAGTTGGGTGTGTCTGCATCTCAGAGTTTGTGTCCACTCTACAACTTGAAATCAGTACCGTTCACTTTAAACGCCATCGCGTTATCCACTTAGCTACTGAGTCCTGTTAGCTACCTGCTTGTGCATTGGGATGAAATTTATATTCCCTTAATATTGTTTGTTTGAATTTTCCCATTGATGTTTAGGACTGCAATTGATCAGTTTCTTGCTGGCATATATGCGTCCTATTCTGACTGCCTCTATAATGTCTTAAGTCACAAAATTTATAAGCCACTATTGATCATTGCTTATTAGTCAATTGTATCAAACTTGACTGTTCCTTCTGCAAAATATCAATTAATCATCTCAGAATTCATTGTTCCTTCGTTTCCATATCAATCATTCTTTGTTCTCATTCTCTTTCCTTCGATCTTCCTAACTCTCTACCTCATTGCACTTTCTATAGATGATACATACTACTTATATGTTTCGACATCAGTAGCATATAACACAATCCGAATGAATCAACATCCATCTATCTGTATATATAACTATAACAATATTAAATTATCTTATTAAAAATTAATTAAAAATGATTGAACATTGTATATTGGTTTTTGTTTGTGTTTTTTTTGTTTTAATACGAAAGAAATTAGTTTAAACAAAACCAAATAAATAAATATTAATCTACTTGTATGTATGTGTGTTGGTATGTATGTATGTATGTATGTGTGTGTGTGTATGTGAATGAGATTGTTTCTATATAAGAAAGCACTCAAAATTTACATGTAGGCGTGCTCATAAACATTTTCAAAAAAAAACAAAATGGAGAAAAAAAATAGTTGAAAATCTTATAAATTTTTTTTTAAATAAAACTTTTTATTATTTTTTTTAATTTTAATAATCAAATAATGAACATTCATTCATAGTAATAATTAATAATAATAATTAGTAATAATAATAATAGTAGTATGTACAATTATAGTAATAAGTAATAAAAAAGAAATATTCATATTGAAATGTTGAAACATGTTTAAATGGATTAACAATCATAATAGGGGTGCGAACGCACTCTACATTGTGTAATGTATATATAGATATATATATATACTTAAATGCATGCAACTACATACATATACATATATATGAATAATACTTTATTAATGGACATAATTATAGATAATAATAATCTTTAAAACAGAAATTATTATTTTAATGAGCTAATCAAATTACTTTATTATAATTATTACATTGAATTAAATATGTAAAAGGGTATACGCGTAATTGTCAGAACGAGAAAGATATTTCAGAAACTCCATGTAAATAATAATAATAGTGGTAGTAGTAGTAGTAGTAGTAGTAGTCGATGAACACGGTGAATATAATGCAGATGTGAGGGCGCGGATTGACAAAGCAAGAGCAACATGTTTACAACTGAAGAACATCTGGAACTCAAAACAATTGGAAACCAACACCAACATCAGAATTTTCAATACAACTTTCAAGATAGTTCTATTGTAGCGGGCGGAGACGTGGAGAACTACGAAAGCCATCATCTGAAATATACACGTGTTTATTAACAGTAGTCTACGCAAGATACTTCGGATCCGTTTGCCAGACACTATCAGTAACAACCTACTGTGCGGTAAAACAAAGCGGATTTTACCGGAGGAAGAAATCAGGAAGAAGGGCTGGAAGTGGATAGGACACACATTCAGGAAATCACCCAACTGCCTCACAAAGCAAGCCCTCACATGGAATCCTGAAGGCCAAAGGAAAAGAGGAAGACCAAAGAACACATCACGCCGAGAAATGGAGACAGACATAAGGAGAATGAAGAAAAACTGGATAGAACTATAATGGAAGGCCCAGAACATAGTGGGTTGGAGAATGCTGTTCGGCAGCCTATTCTCCATTGGGAGTAACAGGCGTAAGTAAAGCAAGTAACGAACAATGGAATACAAAAAAAAGATTTATCCCAATCTGAATCTTATCAAAAGGATTTATCTGGACTCCAGGGTTGATACTCAAATTTAAACTCAATACTTGACAACTAATAATGTAAACAGAGTAGTTGTAGAAAAATTTAGTGGTA